CCCCCCCCCCCCCCCCCACCTCCTCCGCCTCCCCCACCTCCTATGCTACACCACATGCCATCTACTTCTGATCCATATCACACCATAGTTAATTCAAAAGATTATACCGTTTCACAGGTATGTTCACAACTTTTGCTTATGATTTTTGGCACCAAGTAACAAATAACTCATGGTTTACTTTGTCCTTCCTTTCTACTTGAGCTCATTTGTAGACTCTGAAAGACAGCTCACTTCACCCTGTGGCTCAGCCCATGGCTGCACCAACGCATAGCCAACCTGTCAGCGATGCAGTTCACCATCAAGTCCCCGAATATAGAATGCCAGAATCTACTTGCTCTGTCAACAGTTTTCCTGTACCACCTCCAGACAATTTTCGACATAATGATGGTGTTACTATGCATAATAAAGGGTACTCTATACGGCCACCTCAACATGTGCCATCCAATCAGTTTTCTTTTGTTAATGGGGAACATCATGTGAAACATCGAAGGGATGTTGCTCCACCGCCTTCTTACTCCAGTAGACAACACTTTATGCAGAACATGGAGAGAGAGAACTTCTATAATAATCATGAGAGATTAAGACCACCTCCTTATGATTACCAAGAGAGATGGAATCTTCCTGCGCCTTATCCCGGTAAGATTGGGATAACTGATGATTCTTGTGATATTTGTCATGTATATTAACCGTACCATGGTTTCAGTAGTCATGTAGAGTAAAATAAGTTTCTTTCTTTGGTAGGTCCTCGGTACCAAGACAAAGGGGTGCCTGCCCCTTATGGTTGTCATCCATGTGAATCAACTAGAATACCAGATCATGGGTGGAGATTTCCTCCTCGGTCTATGAATCAAAGGAACTCCATGCCCTTTAGACCACCCTTTGAAGATGCGATTCCAGTTTCAAATAGAGGTGCTTTCCCTTTTACCCACATTTTTACTTCTTTTGTGAGAACTTTTTAATTTGATGATGTCACACCCCCTCTTTCTGGGATATTATTACTGGAAAATAGTAAGTATTGAATGTTCATATTTCAGGTCCGAGCTTTTGGCGGCCTATGTGATCAGAAAATACCTAGAGACCATGACTGGTATACTTTACTATTTACCCCCTTGACTGCGGTTGTCCTTCAACTAAGAATTTTTAGATAAAGTTTAGAAGAGTTTTTGAGTGATTTACTGTTGAAAAAAGTTTTTTTTTATTCAATAGAGTAATTCTCAATTTCTTATAAACTTGTATTCCAACGTACACTAATTAGTATCGTTTGTACTCATGTTTCGTTGATTGCTAGGTATAAGCCCACTTTTTGGGCTGGGCTCTGGCCTTGTTTAGGAAAAGGTGTTTATGGTCCATCATTCTGTAAATGCAAGAATCCTTGGGAGGGGGTTTGGCGGAATCTGCACAGGACAATATGAATGATCTGCTAGGTTTTGTACATATGTATGTTAGCCTCTTCTGCAGAATGCAGGGCAGGAAGAGTAATTGTAATTGTAGAGTTGTTGGAGACGGGTAACCTATTTAGGTTGTCTTGTGTCAAAAATTTTTTGCCCCAAATTTTATAATTTATTTCATGGAAGCCCTTATAGAAGCTAGATCAATAGATACATACATACAATTTTTCAGGGAATGTTTCTTGAAATTGTTCTCTTGATATATGGAAAAACTTCTCTCTAGCAATTCTTTCCTTTGTTCTGTCTGCTCCGATTCATTGTTTAAATACGTCGTTTCCGCTGCCAGGTGTATAGTCTTAGTGGCCGCCAACTTTTGGGTTGTTTGGGCCCCCAACGTGCTGGCCTATGGTGGTGGTTTGTTGGGCGAGTTGGCATATTCATGAAAGGGTGCATGCCTCTTAATTCTAGAAGAAAATTTTTGGTGTTTTTGGAGCTAAATATATTTCTCATCTACTTTATCTACTTTTAGTTCGACTATTTCATTAAAATATTGATTAACTAGGCATAAAGGGAGGGGGAGAGTTGTAGGTGTCTTAATTGTTTTTAAAAAAATGTTTGATAAGAGATATTAAAAGAGTTAATCATTTGTATACTGTCGGTGTAAAGTTTTTTTATACTGATAATCAATTATATTTTTTAATAGTGTCATATTATTTATTTATTTAATTAAATAAAAATAAAATAAAGTAATTTAAAAGATATGAATGGTTGTTTTACACTGGTAGTGTGTAAGTGATTAACTCATTAAAATGTAGAATGAGTATATATTCTTATTATAATTCTGAATAATATTTAGATGCTTTAAAAATAAGAGTGATGCTGATTTAGTCAGAAAATAAACAGTAAGATGAATATCATTAAAAAAAAGTTATGGTTGTAATAAATGATAAGATATGAGAAAAGTAAAGAAAATAGGTAGTTTATATATATCTTTAGCGATATAGAATTTGTTAGGATATTAATTGCTGATAGAAGATAGATTAAAAAAGCTATAGATTAAAAAAAAATCAAGAGAATAAAAAGAAACTTGCAAACATTTCAGAGATTGTAAATACTTGGGTAAATGAAATTTATAGGCGTGAGAGGAAAAATTCTGAAAGTTAGATTATTTTAATAATTGATTATGATTGAAATGGATGTTGTTTGGGTAAATTTATTGAAAATGATTTTAGATGTTTAATTTCATTTAGAATATGTTTTGATTAGAAATTTAAATATAGTAATTCATTTTATTTTGAAGGATTTTAAAGTGAAATATTTTGTTTAGATGAAATATTTATAAATAAATTAAGATCTAAATATTTACAAAATTTTTTAAAATAGTAAAATTTAAAATTTTCTCAAAAAGTAAAAATTTAATTTTTTTTAATATTTTTTCTTTCATATTTTACCTTTTTATCTTTTTTTTTTTTATCTCTTTAACCTCTCTCTCTCTCTTTCTCTCACTCATCTCTCTTATGTTTCTTTTTTGTCTCCCTTCTCTCTTATCTCTCTTTCTCTTCTTTTCATTTCTCACCCTTTATATTACGTCTTTTTTTTCTTTATTTTTTTTTTCTCCTACCTTCCTCACTCCTCTTTCACAATTGATATAAAAAGTATTAATAATTTTTAATTGTTGAATATTCAAAATTATTTTTTAAATTGTTGAATATTATCTAATATTAAATTCGATAATTATTAAACATTTCTAAAATTGACTTTGAAATGAATTTTACTTATATTAAAAATCAAATTATCACATTCAAACTAAAAATTTAAAATTAAAAAAATTTGAATTAACTTATCAAAATAAAATATTTAAAGAATGATAGAATTTGAAATCAAAGTAATTTAAATCTCATCTAATTTATATAGTAGGCTAGTTGTTAGAGAAAAAATGTTAAAAAATAATTATAAGTTTCAGACATTTTGATTAAATAAAAAACTTATTTTTTTAAGGAAAAAATTTGTTTACAAATTTAAACTGTTATTTTAAACAATCAACCTTTTTTTTTCCTCGTTGAAAACAGCTAAAATGATGGGGAAAAAAATCCTTTCCAAACATGCTAATAAAATAAAATAAAAGAAGGAATAAGAATATATTTTTTCTTTTTAATTTTTCACCTTTATGAATGAAAAAGATGTTTTATGGCTCTATTGGTAACTTAGTTACAAAAATTCCAGAGCAAAGATGAGTTGAGATGAAAAGTAAGGGAATGATAAAATAATGTGGCAAAACAAATAAATTATTGGATAGTTAAAACATCAACCAAGTAGTTCATATTGCAACTTTTATATATTATTAATAAATTTTAGGAAATTAATAATGAAGGTTAATTATTGTATTCACCATCATCATAACATTTCGCTAATAAACCGTCATAAATTAAATATTTTTCGCTTTTAATCCACACTTTTAGATTATACCTAAATAATGTTTATCTCGTTTATGATTTTAACATTTTTTTTTTAATTTTTTAAAAATTATTTTACCCAAATTAAAATATATTCATGAGTAAACACGCAGATTGGTTGGGAAGAGACTATTCTTGCTTATCTAGAGGTATTTAGCTTTAAAATTTGTAGAGCAAATAAAATCCTATGCAAATCAATAAAGCACTATTTTTGTACTGGATTTCTTTCTTCCTAGTCCATAATACAAGGTCATGCAAGCCATGTTATGATTCCAGGGTGTAATGTGTCATCAGTCAATAGCTTAAAAAACTTTTAAGTGCGCAACGTTGATTCGTTGACGAGGAAAAACATATTGATTGTAATCGTGATGAAAAAGGGAGCATTAATAAAATATTGGTTGTAGATTTAGTATCTGGAGTTATGTTATTCAATAGAACAAAAATGTCGAAATGGAACTTTTGTTGACTTTATTATCAGAAAGAGGTTTCGTGCCAACAAGTTTCTGAATCAGAATGGAGAACTAGAATGCTATAAATGCTTGATCTATTGTATGTGTGCAAGACATGAACATCTAACACACTTGCGTGTAGAACAGGAAAGAGAAGATACAAAATGGGTGCTTCGCAATCAATCTCAGAAAATTCAATCCATGAATTCACTGTTAAGGTACATATAGGTTTTATTTCAAGAAATTTTTCCTCAAACACTTATAATCAACATATAGATCCATTTTCATTATTATCAGAAAAAAATGTTAAAATGTTTATTGGTTGTGGTTGGCACAGGATGCCAGGGGCAAAGATGTGAACCTCAACGCCTATAGGGGGAAAGTTCTTCTTGTAATTAACGTCGCTTCAAAATGGTTATTTTCATTTCCTATCTCAACTTTTTTTCTTGTGTTTCCTTTCTTAATGACCAAAAGAAAGAAGAAAAAAAAGATTGGTCTTTCCTAATACTACTTTTGTGGCTAACTGAATTGATGCACATAAAACAAACAGTGCATTTGCGGATGCCAATTACACCCAATTGACTCAGCTTTACAGCACATACAAGAACAGAGGTATGATTATTCATTTTCAAGTTTCAACTTATTTTGATTGGTTGGTCAAAACGGAAATTGATCATAGTTGAGAATGTTTTGTGTGATGATGTCAGGTCTTGAGATATTGGCATTTCCATGCAACCAGTTTTTGAAGAAAGAGCCAGGGACTAGTCAGGAGGCACAAGACTTTGCTTGTACAAGATATAAGGCTGAGTACCCCATTTTTGGGAAGGTATGTTGCTTCTTCTTTCTGTGGGATCCTTTACTAATTCTGTTATATATTTCAATACTGCCTTTGGATCTACTAAACAAGTTTCTAATGAAATAGAATTCTTAAAAACAAAAAGCACTTGGCATTCATGTTGATTTTATTGGTTTGATTTTTGTTACTGAATATGACATCTAAGAGGATGTTACATTGTTATTTATTTATTTATTTACAATGGTAACAAAACTCAAACTTCAAATCCGGTAGAAATTACATAAATTTTCCAAACATTAGATCGTACCTAGTGGGTTTGGATGTTATACCGTGAAAGGATAAGCTTTTTGACATCTGCTAGACAATATATTATAAGAAGTTATTATTATTTTTTCTTTCATATATTTTTAGTTTCTTAAATTTAGTATAAATTTATTTTTGAATTTTTAAATTTAGAGTTATTATTTTAAAAAATTTTATTTTACTCATTAAGGTTACCAATAATATATTAAAAGTGACATATTGAGACAATATTTATGTACTATCAGTTGAATTTAATGTAATAATTTTACTAACAGAAATACAAATAAGTAAATTTTATGCGATAATATTTTATAAATTTTTAAAAAAATATCTGAATATAAGAAATAAAATAATTTTTTTTTGAAATTAAACAAATTTTAAATTTGAAGAATTAAAAATAAATTTATTTTAAATTTAAAAATTAAAAGATATATCAATTTAAGTACGTTTTTAGTTTATCAAATTTATGTTAAATTTATTTTTAGTACCTCAAATTTAAAACTGTTATTTTTAATTCATATAATTTGTAAAAATAATATTTTAATCCTTTAAGTTATTAATAACATATTTAAAAGAGATTGATTGAGACACGGTAAGTAAATTTTATGTAATAGTATTTCATAAATTTCTTAACAAAATTTGAGTATATATAGATTTTTTTGAAGAATAAAATCAAAATTTAAGTAAAACATATTTAAATTTTTTTTTTTTTTTTTGGAATGAGAGGATGTCATGTCTTCAACATGGACGTAACAATGGTAATGCAATCACCAAACCATTGCAGCAGGTGATATCACAAATAGGATATATATATCGAATCAATATTATCCAACACTAACAGGTGGCAAGTTCCAACGTCACGGTTCGAGAAATTTCTGATTATAACATCACTGTTGCATGCCAACTCAATTGTTGGATACAACCCAGCAATTGCAATTCTATTTGAAATTGACACACACATATATATATACTAAAAACAGGCAATGCATTATCTTGGCTAATAATGTTCCATGTTTGTCGGAAGATTAATTAGATGATATCCTCCACGTGACAGTAACGATTATCAAAAAAAAGAAAATAAGAAGAACATCGATCATTATCTTTCCCGTTTAAACTAAACTGAGGCTTAACAGCGGGAACATTCTCGTGAGTTATGCAATTTTTGGTGAAATTTTATGATGCTTATTATGTGCAATCAATCAAAATCATATTCCCAACAAAATACGATTGACTCACTTACATTCGACTTATATCCGGAAGTGAATGTAAGTTTGGTTGGTTTGGACATACCTTGTTGAAATCTATTCCAACTTTTTCATCGTATATTTTAAAAAAAATTAAAATTCGACTCGACATGGCTCTAAAATAAATGAGATAAAGTTGGGTTGATTAAAGTATATTTTACTTAAAAATAAGTTTGATTTTGAAATATAGGTATTAAAATATTGAGACAGAATGAATTTTACCTAATAATATCTAAACTTGTATGTTTTTATAAAATTAAAATTGAAAACAATCATAGTGAATTCTGATTGTTTGTATGATAAGTAGAAATTGCATGTAAATTTAATATCTATCTATTATAACCATGCACATTGATCTTGGTATGTAGATTCGTGTGAACGGATCAGATACAGCAGCAGTGTACAAATTCCTGAAAGCGCAGAAAGCAGGATGTTTGGGGTCTAAAAGAATAAAATGGAATTTCACAAAGTTTTTAGTCGATGAGGAAGGTCGTGTCATCTCCCGTTATAGTCCAACCACCAAACCCTTCGCCATTGAAGTACTCTCACTTATCTCATGCATCTCATTCTGAACTATTTCAAAGGACAATTTATTAATTAATTCACTAGTTTGTGCTTTCACAGAATGACATCAAGAAGGCATTGCGGGTGGCTTGAAACACTCTACAATTATATCTCCAACCATTGGACGTGTTGAAGATATCTGAAAAAAGAAGAAGCAGCAGAAGAAAATATTATGTGATTCATGTTTATTATAGTCATTATTTCACGCATATTTATGTCCGTCGTCCTATATATTTGTGCTGTTGTATTTAATTTATTTTCATCTTTCAATTATTTTGTTCAAGTTGATTTCAAAGAAATTCATTTTATCTGTTTTATCAAGTAAACACAAGTTACTATGGGCTTGTACAACAAAAACTTGAGGTGAAAAATACAAAGTGATTCATTTTCACTTGTTAAAAAATAAAGTAATAAATTTTTATCCTAAGTACATCTTAACAGATAAGTAAATTATTTTGGCTAGTGAATGTTCTTTTATTTATATATATATATTTATTTATATTTATATTTATATTGACTGATCGAACTAAGAAACGATTAATTTATTGATCTTAAAGAATCATAAATTTAGTGTGTAAAAAAATCAGTCAAAAGTTAGATAAATGGTTTAAAATTGATAAAAATCGATTTAGAAAATTGGATTGAACCAGTTTTTTTTCTTGATTTTTATTTTTATTTTTTAAATTTTATGATAAATAAATTTAATAAATATTATAAATTATAATAAAATATGTTATTTATTGTTTTTAATAATTTTCTTATAAAGATATAACTTAGTTATTAATATTAATTTATAATTTTTATATCATGATATTTTATATCATCTTAATTTAAATTTTTTTTACTCTAAATATAAAATTGTTAATATATATTATTATATTTTATTAAATTTAAGCATTATATATTATTTTTAGACTTTTACATAGACTTTAAAAAATAAAAATACATAAAATGATATTTTATTTTATTTTTAGTTTTATAATAATATTATGTTTATATAATATCATTTTATGTATTATTTAAATATTATTATTATTTTATTAATATCAATTCAATCATAGTTAAATCATTAAACCTTAAATTGGTGTTTTAATTGATTCAATGATCGGTCTAATTTTAAAAATATTAATATATATATATATATTCTTCATCCTTCTTTTGGTGTAAAATTATTTCTAGTCAAACGTTGATATAACTTTGATTAATAGTTTGGCCGCGTGGCATTTTTGATGAATTTAGAACTATTATACCGCTAGTGTATAGAATGCTCGCTGGAAGCTCAATTTATTTGTTTAAGTTGTTTAACATTTTATTTTTATTTTAAAACTGTGTCTTAGAATTTCAAAATATAATTATATATATTTTAATCATATTCTTTTATATAATGGAGTAATTTAAAAATGTATAATAATTTTGATTTTCATAGAGTATTTATAGTAAAATATTAATACTTATGTTGTAGAGAGATCGAGTGCAAGATGGAATCAAAGAGATGATTGTAGTAATGATTGAATTCTTCATCAACAATTCTCATGAAACAGATGTATAATTATCTTTATTTGAGATAATATTCTTTCTCTCTTATTTTATTTTGTTTTACTTTTAAGCAAAGGATAACATCTTAACCGCAAATGAAACATCCTTGAAATCTACGGCCAATAAGCTGTGAAATGATGAATATATGCATCAGTTAGTGTCCTCAATTATTTTGTTTTCTTTTCTTGAGTCTAGAGACAATAATTCAATTTTGTATCAAGACAATCTTTTGTTGTGATTTTGTGAGGGATGAGTGATCAAATTTCAAACTTTAGACCAGCGTTATAGTTTTCACCCGGCAAATGGGGTACACAATCACAAGGCTGCACCACAAATATCTTATCCTTTCAAATTGTTTTACTCATCCACTACTATGGGAAAAGGACATGAAAGTTTCATTTGCACAAGTTCTCTTTCTATTTTTAAGTTTTTTTTAGCTACTTTCGGTATCTTTACATAGTTTTTGTAAAAAATTGTTTTAATTATTTTTATAAGACCTCGTCAATTTATCTAGTAAATTTATTGTTTCTTCTTACATAAAAGGCACTCTTAAAATAAATCTATTTAAGATTAATTTATTAGTGATATTATGATGTGTTTAAAAATCCCACATCATTTAAGAATCAAGGATAAGAGTAGTTAATAAACACTTTTTTTTCTTAATTCACCAAAATGTTTATTTAAGGGCAAAACCGTGATAACTCAACAAGCGTCAAAATAAGCAATATCTTGAACACGATGTTAGCAGACTTATAACCCAGGACACTCTTGCCCCTAGTCTCAATTGAGGGGCTTGTTTTGGCCATCGAGACACCTTTTCAAAGATAAAATTGTGACGATCTGACGAGCGAGCACCAAAGTGGATAATGGATGCAGGATGATCCTAATAATATTAGTAAACTTACAATCAAAATATTAACACTAAAAGGAGAACCCATGATACTTTTACCCCTAACCTCGACTAGGGGGCTTGTTTCGATCACCAAGACACCTTTTAGAAGACAAAACCGTGACAGTCCAATAAACACCAAACTGGACAATGGATGTTGGGTGATCTTAACGATGTAAGTGGACCTACGGTTAAAACATTGACGCTAGAATAAGAACTCAAGACACTCTTGCCCCTAGCCTCGACTAGACGGCCAAAACATTGACGATATAAGGAGAACCCAAGAGACTTCCCTAGTCTTGACTAGGGGGGCTATTTCTGTGACACTCTTGCCCTTAGTCTTGATTGGGGGCTTGTTTCGACCATTAAGATGTCTTTTCAAAGACAAAATTATGTTGGTCATCAAAGTGGATAATGCCTTGGACGTGATGATCCTAACAATATCAGTATATTACACGATCAAAATATTGGCACTAGAAGGAGAACCCAAGATACTCTTATCCCTAGCTTCGACTGGAGGCTTGTTCTGGACACTGATATGTCTTTTTAAGGACGAAACTATGACATCCAAGCAAACATCAAAGCGAACAATACCTTATACGTAGTGAACTTAACAATACTAGTAGATTTACTATTGAAACATTGGACAAAATCGTGATGACCCACTGTAACAATGCTAGTAGACTAATTCCTCGGATATAGTGACTATAATGATGTTAATAGAGTTACGGTCAAAATATTGATACTAGAAGGAGAATGCAGGACACTTTTAGCCATAACCTCAACTAAGGAGTTGCTTATTACGACCATCGATGTACTTTTTCAAAGACAAAATTATAATAGTTTAGCGAGCACCAAAATGGACAATATCTTAGTAGTGACACTAACAATGTCAATGAACTTACGGTAGAAACATTGGACAAAATCGAGTAGTGTAACGATGTCAATGAACTAATACCTCAAATGTGACGATCCTAACGAATGTAACAAACTTAATATCAAAACATGCAATGATTTAAATAATTTGAGGTATAAAGCTCAAATTTTATTATCATTATTTTATAATTAAAAAAATGATGCATTAGTTAGTGGGAAAAAATACAAAAGTTTTAAAGATAATTTTAAGTATTATATAATTATTGACAAATTTAATACTATTAACTATTTTTTTTATTTAAAATAGTTAAAAAATGTCACATATAACATGAAAAGTAATAATTAATTTGAATATTAACTAACGCATAAAAATCATAATGTAAATAGAAAATGATTAATTAATTAACTTTTTTTTACACCATAAACTATTTATTATTAATTAATCAACTTAACTTTATCAATATTAATAAGCATCAAATTAATCTAATTAACTATTTACTATTTTTTTACACCATAAAACATTTATTATTAATTAATCAACTTGACTTTATTGATATTAATAAATATCAAATTTTAAATTAAGACGAGTATATTATCTCAATTTTCTAGTATTAAGTCAGTTTTAGTGGTTATTAAGTACAATTGAGTGGTTATTAACACCTCCAGTTACTTCAACACTTCAAAATTTAAATTTAGAATGTAATCTTATTTTTTTGTCCAAAAAAGTTCCCACTTCATTTTTCAAATTTCCACTCTACATTAAAATTCAGAAAAGAGTGTTGCACGTGGGCCGGATCCGGATACAGAAAATTCATAGGCTAAGACACACGTGTAAGTGTGAGTACACATAACCCAATTACTCAACCTTTTTGAGGCTGGCCCAATAACGTTCACGCTGTCTACTTTTAGAATAGCAGACAAGCGATGTGGGACTAGTCTTTTAAATGTGACAGTGAGAGCACGTTTTGTGAAGATGAAATTCACCGAGAAGCTCCTCAGCATTAAGTGAATGTGAAGGAATTCAACGTGGTTTATAGGTGCCGGCAATGATAAGCGGAAGGCATGTCAGGTCGACAACGACAACGACTCGGTTCTGCTTTCAGGAAGCACAGTACACGTGATCATGGCCACTAGTGGAGGGCACAGAATTGCCTTCAACAAAATGTTCTTCCAGAACACATGATTGTGTTATGGCCTCGTGTGGAAAAGCATGTTCTATTTTAGGTGTATTCAACATCAATGTGACCATGAATACATTAATTGCGTTACCAAAAGTATCCAAGTGTATCAAAGTTACTCACCCTACAAATTTATGTGAAATCTCAAGTTCCTTTCTTCCTTTTTCTTTGGGGTGAAATGTGGTATGCTAATTAAAGCTAGTGTTTCCATTATGTCTTTCCGTCTTTAAGTCGTCTTTAAGTGGGGTTCTAAAATCTGACCAATGAAAGGGTTAATTACTATATATATATAAAAGATATTAAATATATCATATGGAATTTATTAAGGTCATTTTAACTCTTCTGAGGGCAAGAAGGAATATTATTTTAACATCGGCACCAGGGACAAAAGACGATATCGTCCATATTCTACAATTATCGTGTACTATGAGTCAGCTTGTTCAAGCAGAATAATAGCGGTTTGTCATGGGAATCATGTCAACCATGACTTGGACTTAAACACTGTAGCACCATTAGTTTCTTTTGCTCTTTCTTTTCCACTCTTAAAATCAAGGGCTAAGATATCACCTGGTAGAAGTGGCAGTTCCATTTGAGGATCTTAATTAAACTATTTCTTTTGCATGTACGAGTGAACCTATTGGTATTTGGTAGTTAGATAATCTTATTATTTAGTCATAATTACATGTATGATACTTCATCCACCGACTGGTTTAATATTTTATTCGTTCTATGAATAAGCAGATTAAAAATGAATAGACCTATTGTATAACTGTGATCAAGAATGTCTTTATTTGCAACCAACTTGCTACAATTGTATTAATTATTTTACATTATCAGTTTATGAGCATTCATTGGTCATTCATTTTTTATAGATACAATACAAGGGGTGCCCATTGATGTCTTATTTAAATGAGCAAAAGAAAATAAAACAAAATAAAAGATGACATGCATTGTAGCTAAGTAGATGCAGACGCATCCCAAAAAAGAGATAGGCATTAACAATGAGGGGACAAGGATGACCCTTAGTCAGTAATAGTGGATGAGTAGTCCCTCTCAAGCGTGTTTGGCAGAGGAGACAAGCTCATGGGTGTAACTTTGTCATCTTAGGTGGATAGTGGGACATGTCCAATTTCTGCAACCATTGGCCATAACAATTTCATCCACCACAAATTTTCTTCCTTCATATCTTCAAACTCTTCCCCTATATATGGTTCAGTCTTCCCCAATTCAGATCACCAACACAGCTTTGTTATAAGTCCTCAATAGCTTCGCACAAACAAAAGCAAATGGCAACTAGTGTATTCTCAGTTAGGGGTACAAAGATTCGATCATGGGAGAGGTGTTCCAAACAGGTTCGGCAGCAGAGGACACGACTTTACATAATCTGGAGATGCACTGTGTTGCTCTTGTGCTGGCACGAGTAAAGAGTATCATCACGCTATGTTGAAGAAATGGCCAAGCAAGAGAAGAGATCAAGCTGAATTTGGGGTTCCAGTTTTTGATGAAAACCATACTGAGAGAAAAGAGATCATAAACTGAGACAGGTATTGTACCCTCAGGGAACTTTGGGGGTGCCAGTATTGTAAAACAGTCAAAATTTGACACAGTTTATGTTAGGGGGTAGGGTAGGTAATTCGGGACTATATGAAGCAGGAGTTTCTGCTCAACATGTAAATTACAAACTAGCCTGTATAAATTATAATTCAAGTTAAAGATACAACTCACCTATGTCTATATGTTTTTGATATTACATTCTTACCCACAAACACAGCCTTTGCTTTTTAGTTTTATCATCTTTATGTTAGCATGATAGGGCCACAACACCAAATTCCCCAGGCTTAATTTTCTAGAGTAAAAAATTACAATTCATAATGTCACCCTAAAACTGGTTGACTTATTCAGAGAAGTTTCTAGATGTAATAATTAATAAATCAATCTCTAAATTAGGCACCCATTATTATGAGCTACTGTTAAGTTGGGTATAAGACTTTTAAGTCAATGCATTGCCAACTGTTCCTTACTGACTCAAGATCACTAGGGATCATGCGTCTCAATAGGTCAGAATGCAGATGCTTCACGTTCTCCAATGAATTTCTAAGAGCATTTTTGGAAATTATTTTGCAACATGAAACCGCATTCTCTCTTCACGTCTGATAGAAGCAGGAAATTATAGCGTCTGCGTAAAACATTCAATTTGACGTATATGGGTGTGTTTGGAAATTACTGCTTACAGTCACAGTCACTCCAAAGCTTAAGTGAATGAGAGGAGAACGAGGGTCTAGAGGAAATTGCGATATGAATATTGCTTAATGTGTTGTTAGGCCTTTTACTTATGTTGATAGAATAAAATAATCATAATCTATTATCTGATAGAATAATTACCCTTAAGCAAAATGGATTAATTTGCAATTGCATTTTACCTTCGGTTTTCGTATTAAATCTTAATTTTGTGAAGTGTTAAACTTATAATTGTACAAAGCCTACCGTTGCTAATAGAGTTCTTAAGTTCCAAAGGAACAGGGTAGTTAAAAATCTTGAACAGTTAATAACGCCAGCATAATGACTTTGTGTCACATTTCACGAGCAGCCAAATTATAAAACTCTAGAACTTTAAGCTTGCAATATATCCACCAAATTACTTGGTCTTGGAATGCAATACGATGGCCTCCGAAACATAACTAGCAAATGCAAATAGCCAAATAGTAGAAGGCAATGAAAACACGAATGTCTTCAAAAAGAAAACATGTTCTTTGGTCACACAGATGAGCTGGTAGTGGAACAACCTAATTCGCACACAAAATACTGCCATTACCTGTCCCTTTTTTCTTCTTTTTGTATTTCATTTCACAGCACAATTAAATGGGACATGTATAATCAATGATTCTTTCACTTTTAGCTTCGTATATACTATATAGGTATAGTGATGGAATCATGCCTAGGAAGGCAAGAGGTGAC